TCTAATATGTCACTTTCATCTCTATACAAATAACCTTTTTATCTAGTTTACTAAGAGCAATTAGACTTCTCTTATTGTCAAAAATAAATCTACCTCTTGAATAATTCTTTTAATTCTATCATGAAATTTGAGCCTATTGATCTGATACCTTAAATTTTACACGACTTATTGTTTCTAAGTAACATTAACCCTCTTTGTAGATTACTGAACTTGTCAAACCAGGACTTATTTGGCGTCATATGGAAGAAACACCTATAATCCATTCTTCATCAGATTTCCCAAAGACCACCATTAAAGCTTATGTAGATTCACACCACCCATCTATAGTTTCATTTTCCCTTTCCTTGTGAGAATTGTAACCATTGTGCTTTTCAGGACATAATCTTCGAGTGTGACTTTCCTTCTTATAATGGTAACATCTCATATTAGGTATATTACCACTATTTTCAAACTGTGGCTATGATTTCTTCTTTTCATGATGATTGTCTTTCTGTGATTGTGAATGATACTATGGTAGGACCCATTGTTCCAGGACACAGTTTAAGACAAGACAACCCCTGTCTCCATATCTATTTATTCATTGTTCTGAAGGACTTTCAACTCTCACTAAGCAAGCTGAAGTTAGAGTGGATATACATGACATCGAAATCTATAAGAATGCTCCATTCCAATCTCATCTTTTGTTTACTGATGATTGTTTCCTTTTTTTGAGCCGAGGGGAATGAAGCGATATGATAAAAAATATTCTTTCCACTTATGAAGAAGCATCAAGACAAGTCATTAAATTACAAAATTCAGGAATATTTTATAGTTGAAATATCCCAAGCAATATAAATGGAGAGATAACTAATATTTAGGGGTTCAACAAGTCTTGGAAACAAGTATCTTGGTCTTCTGTCCATGATTGGAAGAAGTAGAAAAGCCATGTTTCAGTTTATATAGCAAAGAGTATGAAATAAGATTTAATTCTTGGAGTAATAAATATATTTTTCATTACAGTTGTTCTTCAATTTATTTCTAAAGCGGTAAAAATTCTTAAAACTTCCTTATTTGAAGTTGTTCAGGTTGACAAAAGAGTGTAGATGTTTGAAAAGAATTAAATGTATTTAGTTCGTAGTGCCTATCATTATTGTATAGAAGAGGCTATTAATACATCTCATCTTAAGGTCTAAGACATCTTATGGAAATTAAAAGCTCTCCCGAGGATAAAATTTTTTCTATGGCGCATGAAGAAATTGTGTGTATACAAGAAAACAATTGATAGATAAAAGGGTTCAATCTCAGGACTATCGTGAAGTTTGTGGAGAAGGTTTAGAAAATGATAAGCATCTTATTTTTTGTTGTTCTAAAAATATTGAGTGCTGAGAGCTAGTTGGATTATGGCTTATTATTCCACAAGTGGCGACTGCTAACAACCATTTCAAATCTATAATTTTCTCTCTTTTTCAGGTTTTAAGTTAAGATTAGTAGACCTTGTTTCAGTCATTATTTGGAATATTTGGAAGAGTAGAAATAATTATATTCGGAACCGCGATTAGTAGACCTTGTTTCAGTCATTATTTGGAGTATTTGGAAGAGTAGAAATAATTATATTCGGAACCGCGCTGAAGATTCAGTAGAAACACTTTGAGATTATGCTTCAAATCAAGAAGTTCTAACCAAAATGAAACTTCTATGATCAACCCTTGGAGTAAACCTACAACAAGTCGTCTCAAATATAATATAGATGCTTCCTTCTCTACAATTTATAATAAGGTAGGCAAGAGAGGTTTTACAGTCCAGTGAGCCCGGACACGTGCCCGGGCTTAACTCCTACTTTCTTTGTATTTCCTCTAACCTAATAGCTAATTTTTAGACAAAACCAGGGACAAAATTAGTAAAATCAGGGGCAAAATTAGTAAAAACAAGATACAAAATTAGTAAAAACAAAGGTAAAATTAGTAAAAACAGGGTGCAAAATTAATAAAAATATAGTGTAAAATTTTTATCCAGACTGCCTAAAATTCCTGACTCCGCCCCTGAAGATAGGAATAGATGTATGTGTACGAGATGAATAATAGCAGTTTGTGGTAGCTCGAACGAAGTTGGTATCACCTATTACCGAAATGGATACGATAAAGACTTTAGATCTTCTAGCCGCAATCAAATGGGTACATGAGATCGATTTGGACGGTACGAGGACTAACCTGAATAGCCAACAAGTAAATTTGAAAGAGTTTATTATCAAGGAATGTAAATAGTCCATTATTTTACAAAAATGAAAAAGTTATCATAATTATCCCTATACTATTTAATAAAGGAATGGATTCACCAAATCATTGAGTTACTAATCTACAAGAGATCAATTGCGACTGACTCATGTTGAGTACTTGTTGCTTAGTTAGCATGGAGAAATATTTTAGTTTTATTAAGTGTTTTACATTATGCTTCCTTAAAATGAATCTCAGTAGTAGCAAGCAAAGCAAGAAGAGTAGCTTAAAAACCGCAAATTTTCTCCAAACAGGACGAGGCACTAGAAATTTCTTGCTAAACTTTGGTGTTCATTTTTTCAAGATAATTTATAGAAAATTTAATAAAACTCTCAATAAAAAACTCTAAAAGCATTAACTAGACAAATCTTTTCCAAGCAAAGATACAATTTATGATTGACTAAGAAGGATTGAACTGTCATTGTACAAATGAACCAAAACATCAACGCAACAGATTTCAATTGTTGGGACCTGTTCATAGACTAAAAAATTCAGCTTAACTTCAAAGGAACTAAAATGATACACCATATCATAAACATCTGAGATTTTAATCATATGCACACAAACAACTACCCTGTTTATTAAATCTCAATACTTTATTTTTCAATCAAACGCTTCAACCTCTCAATCAGTATTTCTCGACACTTTTTTGTATGTATATCTCTTAGCAATCCATAGATATACAATGAAGTTGATCATACTAAGAATGGTTAAAAGCCAGTAGAAATAATCGAGATGACCCCTATTCATATTATCCGGTATCCAACCAAGATTTCCATTTCTTGTAGTAACTTTTGTCACAATAATAACAAGCAATGTACTTACATAATTTCCCAATGCATTAGTTGTCAGTGAAAGTGCAGACAACAAACTTCTCATTGCATCAGGTGCCTCGCCGTAAAAGAACTCCATCTGACCGATATTTGTGAAAACCTCGGCTGCGCCAATGAGGAAATACTGCGGTACTTGCCAAAAGATTGACATAGGGATGGTTTTGAGTTCGTAGTAGTTGTTTTTTCGAACTATGTCGAGACGGACGACTTCTAGGATCCCGGCCACGATCATGGAAATGATGGAGATGACTAGGCCGATTCCTATACGTTGAAGTTGTGTGAAACCGTGTTCGTGGCCAGTGTACTTTCTTGCGAAGGGGACAATGATGCGGTCGTAGACAGGGGCCCAGAAGATGACACTTAGAGTGTCGAAAAGGGAGAGGGATGCTGATGGAATTTCGAACTTAGGGCCAATGTGTTGATCCATTGTGTTGCCTTGTAACACAAACATTGTTCCCATTTGACTGTAGACTGTTGCGAAGGCTATAAGTGATGCCCAAACGGGAAGTATTCGGATAACCGATTTGAACTCCTCAACCTGTGTTACGGTGCAAAGTCTCCATGGATTCGGTACATCTCGAGTCTGGTCGGATTCTGTCTCTATTGCTGCCTTATCCAAACATCTAAAATCAGAGAATTTTTTGTTAAGTTAAAGTGTAATATATTAAGATTGTAAAGCAAACTTTAGTGTTGATATCTTACTTCAATTCATCTGTATGTTCAAGTTTGCGGCTCCCTTTGATATTAGACTCTGAATCTGCAGTTTCATAAAGAGATTTTTCATCTGGAACTTTTAGTCCATGTTTCTTAAATGCCGCAACTATAACTTGACAAATCCTTGTAATGGGACTTCCACCAGGTATTTGAAGTCTATACCATCGACTTCCGATGAAGAAAAATATAATCGCGACAACCATTGCAACTGCAGGTACTCCGAAACCCCATCCCCATCCCACATTCATCTGAATCCAAACCAACACTGACGAGGCAATGAGCGCACCAATATTGATTGAGAAGTAAAACCAATTGAAAAAAGAGCTTTTCTTTTTCTTCTCACTCTCGTCGTTATCGTCAAATTGGTCAGCACCAAAAGATGAAACGCATGGTTTGATACCGCCGGTTCCAAGAGCTATCAAGTAGAGTGCTATAAAGAGAGCTGCAGTTTGTCCTGATGTCGGATGGCAACCATCAGCATCACATGGTGGCTTCAATCCACGTGCAATAGCAGAAAACGTTAAAAGCGACATTCCCTGCGAAGCACACAAATGACCAAAATGAAAATTTCAAATGCAATTCGAAACAAACGAACTTTTGAGAAAAATGAAATTCAAAATGAACTTACAATGACATAGATACACGAGAAGCTAGCAATTGTCCAATATCGTCCCAAGTATGAATCGGCTAAAAAGGCTCCAAGCAATGGTGTGATATAACATGTCCCGGACCATGAGTTGACATTTTTTGCAGCAGTTGCATTATTTTGTCCAAATTGATCATGAAGATAGTTCACCAAGTTTGTACTCATGCCATAGTAAGCCAATCTTTCAGAACATTCATTTCCTGCAACAACAATTTTTATCATCAAATTTACGTGGCAGAAACACTTCAGATTGAAGACGTGTTCAGTGTTCATAGCCAGTTGGTGTCCCAGACACACGTGGTTACATTACATTCAATCATTCTATTTCTTTTTTCAAATTATTATCAGTGTCAGTGTTTCAGATATATGGATACCGAGAATAAAGCAGCATGCTTTCCAGTTTCCTGTCTTTTTCTTGTTGGCAGGTCTTCTGCGAATATCGATTGTTCCATCTTCCGTGTACAAGTCATCTCCTTCATTCTCATCATGTTTTTTAATGACATCTGCCATAGTAGCAGACACGATTTCCTATATGTTACCGACAAATTTAAGCCTTCTTCAAAGATTTCTGCATATCAGCAAACAGTTAATGTTAATCTACAAACAGTTAATGTTAATCTACAAACACTCGATTCGATCCGAGAAGTCGGAAAAAAAGTAATGAATAAAAAATACTTTAAAAATGTAAGTTCCAAATTCCAACATTACAATTTACATAAATCACCTAAAGAACCCTAAATTTACAACAAAAACAATATACAAAAGGGGTAAAAGAGGAAAAATCCAAAGAACCCTAATTTTTTTTACATTGCCACCATAATGAAAGTTTCATCAACAATTTGTAGATATAATATCAACATTAATAAGGAAAATAGGACAAAATTTGAAGAAAAAACAAATATATCAGAATAATACCAAGGTGATAATATCACAAAAATTTGTGGACCTTACATGCTGAAAAATAATATATTATATTGCTAAGAATAAACCATCTGCATGCAAATTTGAACATAAAAAAACCCAGAATTCTTCATTATTATAGATTCAAAAACAAGAAAAAGGCACATGCAAATGCAGATATTGAACAAGAAAAGTTGAGGCTTACCCAAGAATTAGAGAGAAATTAAGGGTTTTGAAAATATGTGCAATTGAGAATATGGACAAAACTAGTAGAAAGAAAGTACATAGAAAAGATGAAGTTTTATTTATTTATTTGTTATTTTATAATAAATTGAAAGATATCTTTAAATATAAATGATTTTCATGATAATAAATATAAAATAAAGTATGTTATTGAATATAATTAGAAAAATAAAATTAATTTTAAAAACACCCATTCAAGGTACTAATTACCGTTCAGTCAAGATTAATTGATTTAAATTTGAATTTAATATTTTAAATTAAAACACAAAAATTAAAATATATGATATATTAAAACATCATAAAAAATTCGAATATATGAATATATAAATTTGATGAAAGCATTTGAATTCAATTTGAAAATGATTATCTCATTAATTTTCTTTATGATAATGATTAAATGTAATATGTTTGTTTGTGGCTAAAAATTTCTATAAAAATAAAAGAAAATCAATTTAAGAATTAATGAGAAATATTAGGAATTAAAGGGTATTTATACAATTTTCAATTTTTTTATGTCGATAGAAAAAATAAAAATTATATGAACATTGTATGTGGACAAAACTCTTTTTTTTGGCAGTTGTATTAGACACCTATAATGGGACAAAATGCAAAAATTAAAGAATAAAACTTTTAATTCATTTGTTTGTAAAAAAAAAAGAAAAACTTCCAATTCAGTCGAAAATTAAAGGGAGAACATTTATAGAATACTTTTGCTGGAAATGAAATGATTTTACTAAAAATGGAAAAAAAATAAAAGAAAGTAATAAATACTAATTAAAAGCAAGTATTTGGATAGTATTGAAAATATGTGATTCATGGAATCAGCAATTTATTTTCCATTGAATTAAAGATATGTATGATTCATGAAAAAAATCCTAAAAAGATAATGTGTGTATGATGATGCTTGGAATTTTTTTTAAATAATTATTTATTTTAATTTTTTTTTTCAAATAACCATTTTTTTTTAAACTTTTATCAAAATGATCATTTTTAAATAAAAAAATTTACGCATTCATTTTTAAGAGGAAGCACCACACTGCATGGATTGTCCTCCTCTATAAAGCCATACAGTGTAGTGCATGCATGTGTTTTTAGAGAGGAGGCGCCATCCTCCTTCGCTTGACGGTGTTTAAAAACACATGTATGCGTCACATTATATGTCTTTACAGATGAGGACAAGTCATGAAGTGTGACGTCTCTTCTTAAAAATAAATGTACGTGCCACACAGAGTGAGTACTCCTCCGTATGACGAAATTTTTTTGTTTAAAAAGTGGTCATTTTGTTAAAAATTTTGAAAAAATGATTATTTGAAATTTTTTTAAAAAAAAAATAGTTATTTGAAAAAAAAAATTCTTATGCTTGAATATTGAGATAGTGGTCATTTTTTCTTCAATGTGACGGTTGTTATTATGATGCCAAATTTTTTCAATTTTGATTTTATGTATGATATGACTTATGACGCCAAACTTTTTCACTTGTGTGTCCTAGTTTTGTCCATGATTCAATATGAAAATAGTTTTAAATCTCAACATATTATGTCGATTTAGAAAAGGATGTTCAACATAAGAGAAGAGTTAGTAAAGTCTTGAAAATTTTTGACTAAAAAAAGGACATTTAAAGTATCTTAGTTTTTTGTTAAGATGATTTTATTCTATATGCTTTTAAAAGTAATTTATATGAAAATTTCTTTAAAATAGTATATGTTATTTTAAACTTAATTTATTAGAAATTATAAGAATAATTTAGATATTCAATATTTAAATATTAGTTGTTAATATAGTAAAAATATCATAGAATTCTAAAACACAAATATGTTATATAAGAAATTATTTAAATTAGCCTATTATTTTAGTAACTTTTTTTTTAAAATTATTATTTAAAAAAATTATAATAAAAAATATTTAAAATAATTTTGTATAAAAAATTATTTGGACTAATTTTTTATTTAAATCTATTTAAAATAATGAAAAAAATAAAATACTTTGAAAATTATTTTTGAAAGAATTGTGAGAAAGACGACCTTAAATCAGAGTCTTGAAAAAATCTCCACAACTTCAATTTCTAATTTCTATCATAGTATAATGGGTCATTTTTTTCTACATAGTTATTTTTATTTTTAGTGATTTTTTAAAAAACACTATTTTTCCTTCTTGCATTTCAGTTGAATAAATTAAGACAAAACAATGGTTTTTTCTTTTTCTTTCTAGTGAATAAATCTGAATGGTTTCTAAGCATTATAGAAAAAACTCTTTTATTTTTGGGGCCTTTTGACATCTAGTGTACCAAAATAGAGAGACCATTTTGCCCCCTTTATATGTATTTTTTTATATATATTTTCTTTCCCAATCCCTTGAAACCTCTTAGAAATGTTTGGAATTGAGAAAAATGTTATTTTTTTATTTATTTATAATTTTAGATGTAGCATGTTTTTAAAGTATGAAAATTCTAAAATCTAAAAATATTAAATTCATGAACAAAACACAATTAATTGTAACACTATATTAAACTAGATGAAATTCATCAACGTTTTACATGCTTAACGAACAATAAATTATAATATTTAAATATATTAATCAAATGCAAATGAGATCATATATTAGATAAATTAATTACTTTTTCATAAGGATCAATCATGCATGTCGCGATCTCATCAAATATTCTAGAATGAATAAGGCTTGAACATATAACATAAATAAATTTAATTGGGATGACATTTAACTTGATTGCTCCTTTGATTTTGAAATGACTAAATATTGAGAACATAATTCTTGTATCATTGTTGTTTTGAAGTGACATGATGGTGAATGAACACGTCCATTATCTTCGAGTAACAAACAATGAGACTCAATACTTACCATTCTTCTTGTGTTGCAGTGATCAAGACATAAATTTATATGGTCAATTGGTGATTCATATTAGAAAATATAACATCACTTGAATAAATAGGAAAAAGTTTTGTTTTTGTGGTAAACTGCATATAGGTTAAAGTTTATTATGAGTGAATATGGATAAAAAGAGTTTATTATTTTTTTAACGCGAATTGCAAATGAATCAAACACAAAAGAGTCCACTGGCTTCCATCAAAATCTTTTAGGCAACCATGTCGATATTTAAAACCTCTTGTACAATTTCATAACAGAGTTACTCGACAACTATGTCTCGAGTGCGCATGCATGCTAGGACCAGACTACACACACTACCATCCTTTTATGCCTTCTTTACAAAGGCTCCCCCCTCATCTAATATAAATGGTTGGTTAGCCGGTGTTGGAATTAAGTAGGAATATGATATTCTATAATACCGCCTCATGTATCCTTGTAAAGTTTCCCAATCATGGAGTATTTAAGCGGATCGATCCTCAATAGACAAAATATAGTCCAAGTGTTCAATATATCGCTGATGAAATATGGGAAGAGTATATAACAGGTGGAGCAAAGACATCATGATATCTAGGAATATCCTACACATATCATGATATCAAAGACATCATGCAAATATCAAACTAATTAGTTAATTTTGTAAAACTCCTCTTAGAGAAAGATGAATTGTACACGAACCCCCTAGTCTTTTCAACTTTTTTATAGGGCCTTCATCGGGTCTGATCCAAGAAAAAGACATGACACATTGTCAAGTGTCACTATCATATCCCTAATTGAAAGGTGGAAGATACTTGTCTCCTCGTGCTACCTCTATGAAAAGACTGTCAACAAAGTCATGGTCAATTATGGTGATCTTGATAGAAACTAGGTCACCTGGCACACTCTCCCGAACAACATTAGTAAACCAATCTTCACCAAGAGTCTTCAACATGATGTCATTTTCACGTTGTTGGTAAATTTCAGAGGCCCTTCACATAATTAAAAATAAATAATTATAAGCAACTTAAAGAAATAATGAGACAAAATATAATACATCAGAGATGTAACACACCTCTTCCTTACATATATCTCTGGCCAAATGTTCCTCGTAATAATACAATACATATGTGTCTTACACGCCTCATAGATATAACTCATCCTCCCGCATATTGGAATCCACACTCTAGGCTTCTCCACCTCGAGAAACTCCACCTAAACCTCCCACACCTCAATTTGAGGTTATGGCTCAAAGGGTTCAAATCTATCGATGTGTATCTTGCTCGCTCTTACATAAGAGAGGAAGTAAAAGAATCTCAGTTTCCTAAAGTGTGGGTCTTTAACATGTTCTTCTTGTCCATTACTAACAAAAATGGAACTAATCAAGCAATTCAATAATAAAATATCATAAGCCTAAAGTCAACATTATGTACTATGATGGTCCAAATTATAGAACTCAAAGGCATGTCTTGGCGCATGTTTGGTTTCTATAATCCGAAAATAAGCCCGGGGCGTTTCAAATTCTACAATCCAGACAATATGAGTATTAAAGGTGTACTAAATTGATATAAAATAGAAAAAAAAAGGATATTTTGAGTAAGATTTGATCTAAATCGAGTCAATGTGGTAATTTTGGGATTTAAGGGTTATGAAAGTTTAAATATTGAAGTTAGGGGAAGGATGAGGGTTTCATTGGTTAAATGAATGTTTCAGATTCTAAAATATACAAGCCTCCAAAATACGCCTCAAGTTCTAGAATTATGAGACTTTCTTTTTTAATTTTATATTTATTTAAATTTTGTATTTATTTAAATTTTGAAGAAAGGAGATAAATTCTTGAAGTAAAAATATTGAGTGTAAAAATGGAAAATTACTGATGGTGTAGAGGCGATTTTCGGTGACCAGAAGCGATTTCGGGTGAAGACAACAGTTACTCCGAAGAAGCCCTAATTTAGGTTTGTTTTGATCAAATTTCTGGTTTTGGTTTAAACTCCTGATCTTAGGGTCAGAGACCTTATCAGAGAGTTTGATTGAAGCACTCGAATTAGGACCCAAGTGTGTCAACAATGGGGAAGAGGCGTGGCCGACCGAAGAAGAATCTGGTGGCTGCAACACTTCCTGTAAGGTTAAAGGTTTTTACACCATATTTAGAGAAGAGATTTGAAGGATCGAGTACCTTTCAAACAAACAAATTGAACTTCAGACAAGGTGAACCAACCCCCAAAATGATTAGGCTTGAGATGGAAGAACCTGCCAAAGGAACTATTTGGGTCAATGTCATCAGAGGAAATAGACTCCCCACCAACGATATAGATCTAGAGTATACACCTCATTTGGTTGTTAATGGTGAAATAAAAGTGGTTATAGAAGAAGAAGATCTTTCTTCAAAAAAGAAATATTGGGAAAATGCTCTCATTATGTATGTTCTAGGAGGGAATCTTACTATGAATGGAGTCAAGAATTTTTTGATGAAGATATGGAACTTCGTAGCTTTACTGGAGCTGTATTAAAATGAAAAAGGTTTATTCATTATTTGATTCCACTCTAAGGAAGATAAGGATGTTATGCTGAAAAGAGGTCCCTATACTATTTTCCATAATCCTATGTTCCTTCATGAATGAAACCCTAATTTCTCTTTGAAGGGATATGCTATCAGGGTGGTTCCAATTTAGGTTATGCTTCACCATCTACCTCTCACTCTTTCGGGTGAGAAAAGTATAGGGAAGATAACAAGTGCCCTGGGAAAACCAATGATGACTGATGAATGCACAGGAAAAATATTGAGAATAACTTATGCTCGTATTCTGGTGGAGATTGATATAACCAAGGGATTGAAAGATTCTATAGTTATTAATGACCCTGATGGTAAGAGATTTACTCAGAAAGTGGAGTACGAATGGCAACCCATTTTCTGCAAACAATGTAACAAGTCTGGACACGATTGTGAGAAGAAGATAGAGCCTACATTACAGGAAAAGAAAGCCTACAATGATTTAATATGGGTAATCTTTCTTTCAAATGTCTGGATGTGCCATTATCACGCAGAAGAATTACAATTCAGCAGTTCAAGCCATTGATTAAGAAGGTGACTGCTCACATCAAACTCAAGGTAATTTCTATACATGGACTAACAACCATAAAAAAGATCTTATATATTCTAGAATTAACCATGCTGTTTGAAATGTTGATTGGTTTATGAAATATCCTAACTGTATGGTGGAGGTGCTTAATTACCACATTTATGACCATTCTCCCTTGTCAATTAATATCTTGGGGAACCCAAAGGAAATTGACATATATATTTCTAGATTCAAATTTCTTAATAGTGTGGTGGATCATAAAGATTACATGAAGGTTGTGACTGCAAATTGGAACCAGAATGTGGATGGAAAGCCTATGTATGTCATTTGGAGAAAGATGAAGAGATTACAACTTCATTTGAGAGGGCTGAACAGGAATTTGACTGATGGGATCCAGAAGATGAAGGATTGTAGAAAGAATCTGGAGCATGCTCAAAATAAACTTGCTGGAAATTTGTTTAACAAAGATATCATGACAGAAATCAAAAGATTGACAGATAAACTGCTGGAGGCAACTGAAGAAGAGGAAAAATTGTTAAGACAAAAATAAAAAATCAGTTGGCTTCAATTGGGGGATGGAAATAATACATATTTCCATGCTATTATTCGTGGAAAAAACAAACAAGCGAGTTTGCATAATCTGGAGGATGCCCAGGGAAACAAGCTCACATAGTTTGTGGAAATTAAAAAGGAGGTTTTGAGTTTCTATAGAGATTTAATTGGAACTAATAGAGAAAGGCCGAGACATGTTGATATTGAGGCTTTGAGAAAATTCCCTCAGCTCAGTGAGGCACATAAAGATGAATTAATTCAACCTATTACAGAGGAGGAAATTTGGAAAGCTGTGAATAAGATTGGTGATAATAAAGCTCCTGACATAAATGGTTACACATCCAAGTTCTTTAAAAGCACTTGGGGAATGATTAAAAAAGAGGTGGTAGAGGTTGTGCATAATTTTTTCATCCATACTTGTATGTTTACCATTTCAACTATGCGTTGGTTACTTTAATTCCCAAGACTTCTGAGGCTATGATGATAAAGGACATGCGACCAATTGCATGATGTAGTACTTTGTACAAAATAATTTCTAAAATCTTGACAATAACACTTAGCAGGATTATTTATGATATTATTGATGATAGTTAGTCCGCGTTCATACCTGGGAGAGTAATCCAAGATAACATCATGCTAGCACAGGAAATGATGAAGGGTTTGTAATAACCGGTTTTAAAATAAGAGTCACCACCCTTAATTTTTATCTCTGAGAAGGGAATATAAAGGATAATCCTAATGTGGTCAGATATTCTAAGTTGTTGGACTCGTTTTTAGATGAAAGGAAGGTGTTAGGCACTACTCATCTACCTTGTTCACAAGGATACTAGTGTTTAAAAACGCGATCTTTGAAAAATAGGGTTTTAATGTTTTATTAGGAGAACTCGCTGCAGTTTTAGTCGTATGCTTACATATCCTCTTATGAGGAATCAAAGTCCCAATTCATAGTTTGTAGGTTGTTGGTGTTTTTTTATGGATTACAAAGATATTTTGAATTTCCCTTGTACTAAGTCTAGGTGAGTGAATTAAGTTTGGATTACAATCCTTTTTGAAGATTGTTTTAAGTTAATTAAGTTTGGGTTAAATAAGTTTTTGGTCCCAAAAGTTAAAATTTAATTTTTTTAGGAGGACCGTTCTTTGAAGGAAAAATTTAGAGGAACTAAAAACGAAATTTGAGATATTTAGAGGGACCTAAAACTTATTTAACCCATTACGTTATTTAGAAAAAAGAATTAGTGTTGGTTAAGTATTTTTAAATGTCTTCATATATAAAACATCTTATTAATGCATGGTTGAAAAATAATTTTAATGTAATAAATAAATACTTGGATGAGTTAGAAAAATAAACATTTGATTTTCAATAATAATAATAATAATAATAATAGTGAATTAATATTGGAATTTTATAAATATATTAAAATACAAAAATAATAATTATAAATAACAAAAATAGTAAAAGAAATTTAATTAAAAAAACACAGAGGGGTGTATTTTGTTTGGGCCAAGTAAATCAGGGGGGTGTGGATAGTAGAGCCTTGAATTCAGATGTTGAATTCAAGCCCCAACGCATGAGGGGGTGTTGTTTTGAACTACACAACACAAATGGAGGGTTTGTTTAGCAAGGGTCTAAGTGCAGATATTAGACTTGGCCCACCAGCGTTGGGGGTGTGGGTTACTTAAAACTAAGTAACCCGAGGGTGCAAATATTAAGGGCCTAGGCCCAAAACTTTGTTGGATTCGTTGGCCAGTTTGAGGATAGTGCAACGTGTTATGATGGGTGTGCTAGTTTGTGATTGCTTGATAGAGATCCAAGGGTTGTAATGATAAACGCATGACAGTGATCATGGGAGCGCATACATAGGATCCATGAAGGTTTCATAAAAACTCAGCCCCAATGCTGGGCCTCATTTTCTCCTCTTCTTTCTCTCTATCTCTACTCCTAAACAATAAAGCCTTTTATATTTCTAGAGAGAAAGGATATGAATTATCTTTAGAAATGTATTATGCCAGAAATCTCCCCGCCCAGAGTGCCACCAGCTGGAAATCGCTTCTATCGACGGCTACATCTGGGCGCCATCGCCTGCATTTAAACATTCATCCCCAACCACCGTGAAAAACCCATAAACCTAGAGCCTTAAGAAGAACCCTAACAATGTGCAACCTAACCCTAAGAACCCTAAGGGTTCGTGAAAAACCCTAATCAACCATAACTAGAAACCCCAAAAACCCCAAAAACCTGATAAACCCTAATCCTAAACCTAAGAACCCTAACCCTAAGGATGATTCCTAACCCTTTTAGAAACCCAGAAATCCAAAAACCAAACACGAATCACAAATTCAAATAACAAAAAACTCTAAGCTAAGTGATTAGGCTTACTTGATCCTTACTGTGAATCTTCTTGTTTTCTCCTCGTCTGTCTTTTGATCTTTTTCCTTTCTTCTGTTTTCAAGCATGATAATTGCGCGGCGGTGATGAGGTGACACATATATAGTGTTTCAGAAATTGAAACCTAGATCTCAAGCTGATGG